GAGGGTTGAGTGTGACCTGGACGAAATCTGGGTATGCAGGAACCAATCGTCGGAAGCGTGGACAGGTTGACCGCAAGATCATTGTCTGTCTTGCGTCTCTGGAAACAAAGGGACGCCAGATGCTGTCGTGCTTGACCACTTGCGCGACATGGTCGAAAATGCGGCCCAAGACATTGTCTGGCAGATCGGAGATGTTGAGAGCTCGAGCTTTCTGCGACCCTTCACGCCACATACCCTTCGGGAGGTCTGCCGCAAGGGCGGCTGCGCCCTTGCCGCCATGGCGTTAAATAGAACAACAACAACAACAACAACAACAGATCGGAGATGTTGAGAGCTCGAGCTTTTGCCCCTGTAGCCTTGGCGATGATAGCCTGGAGAAGAGCGGTCCGATTTTTCAGTCTTTCTCTCGCATCTCGGAGATAGATGGCGTCTATGGTAGTGCCCAGATCGCGCTCATCGTAAGTCGAGGTTTCTGAAGTGATGCTATCCACCTCGGACCGCTCTTTGTGAAGAGTGGCCAAGTCGCACTCGGGAAGGCTGGAAAGCGGTCGTTGTTGCTCGAGTACCTCCACCTTGCCAGTGAGCTGGGCAAGGCGATCGGCGACTGTCTCGGATGTCCTACGATTCTTTCGTGGGCCCTGCGATGGTCTCGGACTTCGGGCAGGCAGGATCTCTCAAGCAGGCTGTGCATCTGGTGGACTGGGAGACGAGCAATTCTGGGAAGCTGGAGAGGAGTTGACAGCTGGAGTGGAGGCTTTGCCGAAAATATTCGGGACGCTGGGAGACGCGGACACTAGATTCGAATCGAACACAAATGTAGAGCTCGAAGTGGACTGTTGAGCTGGAGTATTTACGTCGCCGGGCTGATTGCTGTTGATTTGCTGACAGTGAGGCTCCGAGGAGCTCGATGTCGAGCCAGTCTCGCGGGACTCACGGGCTTCAAGGGCGGCCAGCCGCTCGGCGACGAGGGCGCTTGCGCAGAGGATGTCTTCTTGCTTGAACAATGGCATGATGAATTCGACTGACGCCGGAGGGACAACTTTGAAGAATTGAAGATAGGCGAAGGATATGGAACAACCCAACAGTCTAGGTGACTTTCTGAGCAGAAGACCAGCTGAAATCTAGATGTTCTGAGATGATGGAGGTGCGATTGAAGCACCGGGGAGCACGGGAAACTTGCTGAGGTATGTGGCGTTTTGACTGGGTGACTGGTATTGATATCCCATGAACCAGAAAGGGCTTGGGCAGGAAACTTCTCCACTCCGTTTGTCGCTTTATTAAACTTCCGGCGCTTTCTTCCTCTTGAGTGAGTCTTGATGTACGAAATAGTTGATTCAATTTAGTACGGAGTAGCTACTTTGCCTTGCCACTGTGGCACTCCCTGCTCTTCTGTCACGCTGTGGAGAATCGAGAATGATAGCCAATCAGCCAGGGGGTATTCGAACGCGCTCTTTTCGTGACGGACGCGTCTTATTAACCTCCGAGAGAGCATATCTTCGGCAAAGCTCGGGGGTTCGAGCGCTGTGAACTCTGAAGCAGCTCGCAACGGCGCTTCAATTGAAGTCACTGGCGTCGGTCATGACCTCCGTCAGGTCCTTCCAGCAAGCGGCGACGTATAGTTCTATATCAGCTGCCAACATGGGTGGGTGGGAGACAAAGTACGGAGTACATGGATGCGCTTGACCCCTTTCCTGAGTAGGAGATGTTTCGGCAATCTTGGACAGTCGATCGATGGAACCCCCTTCGTATCCTCTACCACGATGACAGTCGCAAGCAGAGGCGAGACCCTTTCGTTCAAGAAGCGACATGTCAGGCGCAAACTCTTATGTCCCAGAAACTTCTTTTCTTCCCTTTTTCTTGACTTTCCTTCTCGTCCAGTCATGCATATACACCTAAAAACGTATTGAACAGAAATTGGGCATTCGTAAAAACCCAACCCAACCCAACCAGGTAGTCTTATTAATCCGATCGCCAGAAGTAAATACACCGGTCACAAGAGAGCGGTTTGATTTTCGGGAAATCCATCCCCAAGGCACCTAAATACATTACTAGTGAGGTTTATCGACACATCATGGAAACCAAAATGGTGGATTTGAAGGCAAGACTCAGCAGTCTTTGATTTTTATACACAGATTTGTCAAAAATATTTACAGAGAAGGTAGCAGAAAAATGTATGCTTTTCTCAAAAACCCAATTCTCACCCTCTCCATCCCTGGATTTCGTCAAGAGTGAGGACATACTCACTCTCATAGATCTATCAAGTCACAAGTGTTAGTACCACAGGTCTAGCACGGCACAGACAGGGGTTCAGTATGCTACATACCTTCTTCAAGTCATCGACACTGTTCCATTCGGTGTTGTTGATGAAGCCATCACTCCAGACGCAGAAGTACAGCCAGTGGGCCTCGTACGCCTGGAGAAGATCGGGGAAGGGAGCGCTGCCGACCTCGGTGGCCGCAATGAGCTTCTTATCCTGGCCGAGAGTGATGAGGTCGTTGTATTGAGTTGTCATGAGCTGTGGTCAGGTTAGCGACGGGTTCTGCATAATGAAAGGGAATGAAGAAGAGCTTACGCCGTGGCCTTGAGCGTAGACGTCAGCACTGAGAACGTCGACGGTATCGTCACCGGGGTACCAGTCCGCAGCAACCGAGTTCCAGATCCAGACAAGGTTGTTCAGCTCGTGGTGGTTGGTGAGACGGTCGTACACCAGAGCCCAAAGCTTCTTACACGCCTCAGGACCCTTGGCTCCCCACCAGAACCACGCACCCTCGGCCTCGTGAAGCGGGCGCCAGAGAACGGGAACACCGGCATCCTGGAGCTTCTTGAGCTGAAAGGCAATGGCGTCGATGTCGCGGATGATGAGGGTGTAGTTGGCGTTGGTGGTGTCAGCGAGGGCAGTCGAGACATCAAAGTCGGTGGCGCGAGTGTAGAATCCGCTCCACCACTTGTTCTCCTCTGTGTCGTAAAGACCCGTGGGCGCGTTCCAGTGCCAGAGCACGGACACGATACCGCCGCGCTCGTGGTGGGTGATGGCCTCCTCGACGGCAGTGCCGACGGTTCCGCGCTCGACGCGGCTGGGCGAGTAGTCCATCAGGTCGACACTGACGAGGGCGGGTGACCTGCCGATGGTCTCATTGATCCAGTTTGCGTAGTTGAGTTCCTGCTGACCAGAGAGGATGTTTTTGCCGTAGATAGAACGAAGGTAGGTGTACAGAGCGTTGGCATCGGCGTTGGCCTTTGCGTTGATGAGGGCCGTGTTGACATTGTGAGGTCCGCGGGCCTCGGTGGGTGTGAGAGTGATGGAGTCGATAAGGTACCATCCCCAGTGCGTGACAATGTCGAGCGTGTTGTTACCTTCGTTGAGCAGCACCTGGCCAGCGGAAACGTTGGCCCAGGTTTCGGTCGCGGCCAGGAGAACCTCGCTGGCGGCACCGCCGTTGAGGATGACATTCGTGCGCTTCTCGCCGTAGATGCCGGCGTATCTAATGTTGAGGTCGAACAGCTTCTGTCCTTCGCCCTGGCAGTCAAGGTTGATGGTAACCTCGTCGGTGGCATCTTCGAAGCCGGTTACGTAGCCGGTACCTTCGGAATACGGCAAGGTTAACAAGCAATACGAGTGAGATTGACAGGCAAACGTGTCATACCTGTGAAGCCAGCTTGCTCAGTCGCGACGGTAGTACCGTTGAGAACTCCATTTTCGGCCTCGTAGACCTTGGCTCCGGTGCTGCCGATGCAGTTCTGCGAATACACGCCAGCGGCAAACGCGAGGACGGCGCGGAGCGAAAGCGCCGTAGATCTCGCCATGATTTCACGGAAGATCAACGCGGGGGTGTTACAACCTAAGAAAGAGAAAAGAATTGAAAAGATCGGTCGAAACGGAATCGTCTCGAGGAACCAAAGGTATGGCTCCGCCGGTGGGATATCTATGCTTATTACAAACGACAGTCGGGTGGCTCTCCTTTCATCTCCAAAGTGTTCCCCCTCATCGTGTCAATCTCGCCATCTACCGTAGGGGGTTCATGAGGGAAGGGTATGGCGATCATTCAGATTCCAGGTGTGACGGAGGTTAATTTTGCGTCTCCACAATCCATCCCGTTTATCTTGACTGAGCATGTTTGCCGGGACCTCATCGCATCGAACCGGGATGTCGGAAGGGGGCTTGGCTTTCATGAATTTGAAGACGGAGTGTGACGCTCCGTGTGCTGTGAGCCTGTGAAAAGGAGGCACACTTTGCGCGGAGCCGACCCCGGCTCGGTACTTTCGTGGCTTCTGGGACCAGATGTCAGGAGACATCTTTATTTGCAGACATAGGCCACACAATTTGAGCAAAATCCAAGAAAAGTAATCTTTGTTCCCTTTCTCTCGCACCTCCGCCGTCCGAAGTGTCTGTTGGGGAAAATTCACCGGCTGTTCATCCGAACTTGACAGTTCCTTATTCATGATGGGTCCTTGTCGATCACACAGCCGGTGGACCGCCGCCAAGGGTTTTACATAAACATGGTTTGGCCCGGTTCGCCGGTCCACTTCGGCCTCACTTAGATTCGAAAATTCTGGTGCCTTTGGGCCTCGGGTCTCGAGGGTATCGTGCCCCGTCTACATAATCCCACCGACGAAGCCAACGCTTCAACAACCAGCAGCTGTGTACAACTGCCCGGCTAGCTCAATCGGTAGAGCGTGAGACTCTTAATCTCAAGGTTGTGGGTTCGACCCGTAAGCTTCATCCTGCGGTCATCAACATCAGTGCAACAACTAACAAATACCAGCCACGTCGGGCTCAATTCCCGTCAGCGATTGAAATCATCTTTTTGCCCATTTGTCGTTGATTTAGATAGTCGAAGATTCGCATATATGTACCTTTTTGATTGCAACTTTGGAATCTTGCATTTTGCTCTGCTGTCATCAAATAGGGTTGAAAATCCTCGTCTCGCCTAGATTATGAGTCTTACTTAAAGCACCTCAGCCCCCCTTTGTGTTCACAGGTAGCCAATTCCGGATCTCAATCAAACCTTCGCCCGCCTTCGAACCTCGACCTCAGCCCCATAGTTTGGCTGTACGATCATTTGCCTGATCTGATTCGGCGGCCTTTCCGTAGTCTCAAGGCCAGCAACACCCTTCAGATGGATGTCATAGTTCATTAACAACTCGATGAATATGCACTTGATCACATAAACAGCGAAGAAGCGCCCCGGACATGCATGCGGGCCGTGCCCAAAGTTGAACGCATCTGGCCCTGTTGTCGCAGCTTGGTGCTTCATCTCACGACCTGGTTGGTCTCGAAGACGAGCGAAACGGAAACCATCGAATTCGCTAGGTGGCGCGTTGCCGGTTTCGGCGTTATACTCTGGGCTGAAAGTCTTCGTTGTGGTAGAGTGACTGAGAGTGTGTGAGCCTCAGTCCAACGTCAAAAATGTGCTTACATGCCTCGAGGCTTCAAAGTGACTTACTACACGGCCCACAAGGGAAAGGAAATGGCTGCTCCAGCAGGCAACTTCATGCCATTTGAAAAGGTCTGATCTTTGCGAAGCCTTCGAGATGTACCGGCTTTTTCTCCGGGTGAGTTTTAAATTTGAGTTTATTACAGGGAGAGTGACTTACCAAGGCTCAATGGACTTGTGCGCTGGCTTTCTTTGATGAAGCTATCAAGCTTCTTGAGTTTGCCCACAGAAGACTTTGACAGAAACACTTGTCCATTTTCGTCACTCTCTACGCCATCTTCCTTGATGACTTCTGCAATCTCCTCACGGAGAGGCTCGATGTATTGGGGGCGGCCAAGCAAGTCGTGAAGAGCCTGGGAGACGTTAGCTCAAGCTTTGAACCAGCCACAGAATTTTCATACCAATGTGGCCGTTCCGGAAGTTGTGTGAATGGCAGCGAATGAAAGCAACATCTGGTTGGTCCCCATTGTCTCAGGAGTCTTCTCTTCGGAGCTCAGATACTTCATCATCCATGACACAAAAGCTCCAGGAGCGCCTGGTTTCGCCGGCTTTTCTTCAGGCAAGTTCTCATCCCGAAGAACTTCCTTGACTAGAGGTCGCATATGTTCATTCGCTTTGTGGAGCGCACGGCGCGTATGCCGCACTTCAGGAAGAAACGGGAGGACGAAAGGCCTGATCCAGGGGTTCCATCGGAGGGCAGCCATGCGACTTTTCCCCACGTCCGTGGCGAAGGTGATTGAAGCCTGGATCCAATCCTCCTCGCGACTCAAAGGCAGGCCAACGAAGACTCGGCCACTCATCAGGCCAATCATGCGGAGAACCATGTGGTACGTATTGAACGTCTTCCACTCTGCCGAATCCCCAATCAGCTGGTTCAAGCCGAACTTGGCTTCCTCCTGTATTGGTCGGAGGACACCGGACATATTCCTTGTCAAGTCGACCCGTACAGCCTCGATTACTTCTCCTCGACTTTCTCCGACGTGAGTGTAACGGCCGAGGAAGATGTCATAGATCTCAGCCGCAAAGGACATCTCCGTGTCTGGTGCTTGGATGACCTCCTGGTACAGGTTCATTGGAAGCATGACCCGTGGGGGGTCACTTGGAACCACAAACGCCGTGTCTTGATACTGCCATTTGGGTCTCGATTAACTGACGACTCACTAAAGAGAACAGAACGCCTGGCATAATCACCTTTTGATAGCCGTCGATGATAGCGGAGGACAGATTTTGTTGATCGGGAGACCCGACAAGTGGAAGCCCATAATTCGGCTTAATCTTCTTGCGCAGTCGACCAAATGCGATTATCACAGCCGCGAGAGCGACCGGTGCCCATAGTAGCCACATCATGTTTTCGATATTCCGAAGAGCACAGGCTGATGATGCCAGATGTTTATCGACGAGGTCGATAAACATCCCTAAAAGTCCAACTTGCGGAAGAATCGGATCTTTGTACTCTGTACGACACCATCTGAACGATGAACGTCGCACTTTGTCATACAGTCCGAACGGACTACGGATTACTAGAACGGCATCTCCGCGTTCCCCACGTGTATTCGGGGCCCTTTAATCCTCTCGTTTTCGCAAACCTTAGCGGTGACGTACAATCAGGGAGCAAAAATTCGCCGACGGAGGCGGGGGAAAGCTTACTGAGACCCTGCCACCCTGCCACCTTGGATCCTTCGCGTACGAGATGCTGACCGTGTTTGGCAGATCGTATCAGCGCTAGAGCCACTAGAGTGTCGCGAGGGCGTAAGCAACTTGTTTCTCGCGTAAAGGAAAAAGAAAACATAACAGTGGTAGAACCTTTTTCGACTGCCAAATCATTCCCCGAACGGTGATAAGCTGCCGACACTCGTTCTATGTTTCATGGGATATCCCCGGCAAGCTGGCGGTCAGACGGTTGACTGCTTGGTTGCATAGAAATCGTCGATTTGGAAGGTAGGATGCCCGCTAAGATGCTGACATCTGCAAGGATGTTCTTCTAGCTCGTGTGACAATCAACCTGGCAAGAATGCATTGGTCGGCGCCGTTGAAAAAAAAAAAAGAATGGATGGAACGCTTTCCGGCCGTACTTCGACATCACTTGTCACTTCGGAGCCATTGACATAAAACTGTCGGAACAGCAAGGCTGATAAGGAGCAATGGGCAGGTATCGTGGGCTGGCTGGCGCCTGCCCTGGGCGAAGTGGGACAACTGGCTTAGTCACCACGGCCGGTTAAGGTGGGGCAGCCACCCAGGCCGTCACTACCTACTTCGACCGACCCCTGCCCACAATGTAAATAGGAACAAGAACAACAACAGCAATTATCACGGACATCGACGTGATTGTTGCCGAAGATACACCCTCATGAGGAAATGTATCACGCCTGTGATACCAAAAAAAACGATAGATGTGGCATTGAATCCGTCGGAAGATAGAGGATGACGAAGCCCCTGAGGAACCGAAAATCCTTCTGCTAACGATGTTAGATCAACTGGATATTGCACATTTTGCTCTTGACACTATGGTGATGATCTGGACGTTTGCTGTCTTCTCAGAAGACATAGTCCTAACACTGGCGAGTGCTACAGTTATTCTCACGTATTGATGATTTCTCCACTATACGACAAAGATGTGTACGATCGAAGCTCCAGTCTCTTCTGCAGAGAGGGGCGTCAAGAGCGATGAGATCTGTTGGTTCACGGGGTCGTATACGACAAGATAGTGGTAGCAATTATCACTCGTCTGTTGGTGACCCTATTGCTTGTTCTTCTTGTTGTTCTGTCTTACATTGTAGGCAGGAGTCGGTCGAAGTAGGTAGTGACGGCCTGGGTGGCTGCCCCACCTTAACCGGCCGTGGTGACTAAGCCAGTTGTCCCACTTCGCCCAGGGCAGGCGCCAGCCAGCCCACGATACCTGCCCATTGCTCCTTATCAGCCTTTGCTGTTCCAACAACAGAACTTCTGAACACATACCTCGAAAGGTACCCACTGTTAGTAATTGTTAAGGTTATAGAGGGCTACGGCCCACTGCACTATCATCTCTCAACATCAGCCCATACGAGCTAAATTCCACGACCATAGCGGTCTCCCTAGATATAGGGCCATCGATCACGGTTCACGGGGACGCCAGTATATATCGGCGGTCGGGACGAGTCCGGAAGCCGACTACAAAGGTCAGAGTGGTTAAGCAGGTTAACTACCAGGACAACTCTGAGCTTAAAGACGAGATCAACAAGCTTTCGAATCTTATCCAGGACCTCCTACGTCGGGACGCCGAGAGGGAACAGTTTTTAAAAGACTGTTTAACAAAGATCGAATCCTTGGAGAGAGAGCTTCAGGAGGAGAAACAGCGTTCAAACCGGCATCAACGTGGTCTAGCAAGGTCTATATACACTATTGGCACAGGGCCTAGCGAGACTGACCTGAGTTCCCAGGGGCATCCCTCGCACACAACCCAGAACCAGCCGCCCCCAGTCCGTTCATACGCGGCGGCGGCGAGCCAGCCACTGTCCAGAAGACAGGATAAACCCACGCCAGCCAAACAAGCCGCAAAACAAGCTACAAACCGGGCGGCCTTAAAGGATCTACACGTCTTCGCGCATCTATCGCCTAAAAGCCCGCTTCGGAACGAGAAAGCCTATAATATATATACCTTCGTTCGGGAAAGGCTAAGTCCCCAAGCCCGAGAAGCCCTCAAGGGGATCGACTATGTTAAGATAGGATTAGCACTCCTACCTTCGTTAATGGATGGTGTAAAAGTCCTATTAGAGAATAGAGAACAGATCGCTGCCCTTCTCTAAGCGTAAGCGATCGAGTAACGCGATACCTGGATCCGAGCCTATATCGTAAACGTCCCTTACACTAGGTATTGTCTAGTAACCAATACTGAGCTAGAAATCACGACCGAGGAGCTCCTTGAAGAGATCCAGGTCTCGACGAAAGTTAAGCCTGAAAAAGCATACTTCTCTAGGAAGGACGAAGTCGAAAGGCTAGGCACGGTAACAGCCTGGTTCAAGGCGGAAGCCGTAAGGCAACTTCTAAGACGCCTCCGTTTGATAGGGGCCAGCGTTTATGTAAACCTGTAGTTCCCGAAGGAGAAGAGGTCTCCTTAATGTCTCCGCTGCGGCGGTTTTCACAGCGAACGAACGTGCACCAGAAGGAAGAGATGCCTCAAGTGCAGCTCTCCTTCCTACACAACTGATCAACACCGGGCACCCTGCGGCGGCACTGAGGGTCACGATGGCTGCGACTGCCCCTTTAAATGCCCGTCGTGTAACGGGCCTCACGCCGCCTTCGATACGACTTACCCTATCCAACCCAAAGTGGTAAAGGGGGTAGTCCAGAGGAGGGATAAGGCTTAGCTACGGGCTATCCGAGCTGAGGGAGAAAGATTATAGAGAAATACGACCCAACAGTCGCATCGACATTCCCGTAAAGAAGAACAAGCGATAGACTATACCCCGGCAAATAAAACATAAAAAAAGAATATAACGTTAGCCCTTTAAAACCTTACAAATTATATAAGCGAATGTAAGTAGGCGGGTATCCGCCTACGAAACAGCACTAAACCTAGCTTACGTAGCCCAGATCGATATATTCCTAATATAAGAGCCGTCTATCCGTTCGGAGGAGAGGAGGCTTACAAGACACCACCCAGGTTTTGAGACTTTCACCCCAGTAGATAACTGGACCGAAGACCGTCCTAGGGTACTTACTTACCTCCGTAGAGGAACTAGGGTACGAGGCGTATAAATACGGCCTCTACCCGATCTATCCATAGACCTACTCTTCTTACGACTCCTCTCAGGAACGAAGGAGGTCCTTACAGTTATTGACGTATATAACGCCCCTCGTAGCTCTCTGCGATCTGGCCAGGCTCTCAGGAACATCCTAGCGGCCTGGCAACCCAAACCTGAGGATCGAGTACTGATTGCGGGGGATTTTAACTTACACCATTGGACGTGGTAGCCCGAGGCCACGAGTTCCCCGGACGCTGAAAACCTAGTAGAATGGGCAGAAGCCGCTAGCCTTGTCCTAATGTCACCTATAGGTGAACCCACGCACAAAGGCGGCAACACCCTAGATTTATACTGGGCGTCCAGCAACCTCCATGGGGCTTCCACCAGCATAGAAACGTCACTACACACGACATCAGACCACGAATCTCTGCTTACCCGGGTCCCCTTGGCCCTGATCGATTCACCCAGCCAGACCCCGGGAAGGTTTCGGCTCGACACCATTAACCCTAAGCTTTTCCTCGGCATCATTAAACGCAACTTATAACCCATGCGCCGCACTGCAAGCAACATCCAAGACCCACAGTCTTTAGATCTCCTAGCACAACAGCTTACGGACTGTCTTATTAAAGCACTCACGGCTTCCACAAAGCGCACGCTCGGGAAAGGTACAGGGAGACCATACTGGAGCGAGAGCTACACACGTAAATACCGAGCCTATACGAGTAAGCGAGCAATATTAGCAAGACTCCGCATAGCCGGAGTGAACTGCTAATGGGAAGAAGAGGAGGTCGAAGCTCTAAAACAGGACTTCCTCTACGAGTTTAAACGCTCCAAGGATACCTTTTAGAAAGATAAGATCTCCTCAGCCTCCTTAAGCAAAGATATATTTAAAATAGTCGGTTTGCATAAAGCCATAGGATCCTTTCAGACCCCGCCACTCCGAGATATAGACAACCAAAACACGCTTATCTTACAACCAAAAGAGAAGCGCGACTGATTTACCCGCGTCCTCCTTAGAAACGCTGCAATCTCCGAGGACATACCAACAGAAAGCCCAGTCTTACAAAGGCAAGCTACGCTTCCCTTCCCGCAGGTTACGAAGGACGAGGTACGGTCTTCGGTTCTCACCGCGGGAAACACGACTCCTGGGACCGACGGAATCACTACGACTACTTTAAAAATAGCATAGCCAGTTATCAAGGATATTATCCTCTTACTTTATAGCGGGTATATACGCGAGGGTTGGCATCCTACTTGTTTTAAAAAAGTAACTCTCGTGATCCTAGCAAAACCGGGAAAAAGAGATAAGACACTCCCGCGCTCCTATAGGCCAATTACGCTCTTGGCCGTCCTCGGAAAAGGCTTGGAGAGACTCATCGCTAGACGACTTGCCTAGATCGTAATTAAACATCGTGTTCTACATAATCAATAGTTTAGAGCACTCCCTCTTCGCTCTTATAGCGACCTTATCGCAGCGGCCATCCACGACATCGAGTGCGCCTAGCAAAGAGGCCTAGTTACCTTTATACTTACGCTCGATATAAAAGGGGCTTTCGACGCCGTGCTCCCAGGACGACTAGTCCGACGCCTCTACGAACAAGGATGGCCGGAGAACCTCGTACGCTA